TGCAGGTAACGCGCCGAGTGGCCCGATGAGGGCCGAGCGCAGCTGCGGGGCGAGCGCATTTGGGCGCGGAGAAGGCGCGGGCTCCCAGGCTCTCTGCAGAGCCACCAGACCAGCGCGGCGGCCCGGGGCCCGGGGGCGGCGCCCGAGCCCTGCACCTCTATCAGAGGAGTTAGCTATGGGACCCGAGCTGCCACCGGCGGACGCGAGCCCCGGGCTGTGTGCGTCCTGGTAGAAGCCGCACCCCGGACAAAGAACGTGCGGTAAGGGGTGCGCGCCCCGGGCTCAGGCTCCCGCGCTGCCCTGCCACGGCCGAGGTCGCCGCGCCAGCCCCCTGCCTGCCAGTGTCTGACCCAGCAGCACAACAGCTTCATGACCCGGGAGTGCACTCGATGCAGCGGCCACCTGGCCGCGGGGTCCCCGTGCCTGGTCGCCAGCTGGCCAAGGCACGGGAGACGGCTGGACACAGCCGGGTAGCTTGGCTGCCTGCCCAGGGTTACGCGGCGAGCCACCCTGCAGCGCCTGGAGTGCCAGCTACTCCGCTCTCCGCTATGGAGCAAAGCCAGTACCACTGGCCTGGGAGCCTGGAGCCACCGAGCTGCCAGGAGTTGGGGAAACCGAGCAGGTGGTGCGGCTACTGCCTCACCTCCGGCGAATTCCACGGGGAGTCTGGGTTGTTGATGTTGTGACTGTGGGCTGTTTGTGTTTTCTTTCTTTCTTTCTTTTTTTTTTTTAACTGCACACAAAAGAAAGGAGTTAGAGGAAAGACCTAGCCACAGAATCATCCACACTTTGCTTTCTCCCTGGGAACAGATGGATGGGGAGAGTTCCTTGAGAAACAACTATAGTGATGATTGACTATATCAATCCCCTCAGTGTCCCCTGTACCTGCACCCCCAATAAGCTATGCACCCCTGGTGGAACTGGGTCAAAATCAGGCGGGCTGGCCCCGCCTAGGTGGGAAAATGACCATAAACTAGCAAAGTGGAAACTTTCTGAGGCAGGAACTCTTGAGTGTGAAACCTCCCACGGGCAGCCACTTGAGCATTCTTGAATTAAGGTGGGTCACAACAGGATGAACCTTACTCTGCCTTTGGCTCAGCACTACAGAGGATGGCTGGCCCCTTTGCCTTGGGCACTCTGTGTGTTTGCTCTCCCTGCGTTGTGCCAGAATGCTGGTCAGAAACCATCACATTGTTTAATTTCCAAAGGCAAGGTCATTCTCCATCTTGGAGGACAGCTGGCCCTGGTTGCATTGTCCTTAATGTAGAGGACAAGAGCCTCTCCATGCCTGTGGTAAATTCTTCTGTTAGGTGATGGCTGCTGGTTTTCCAGGGTGAATCATCTAGGTTGGAAACCACTGCTTTATTGCAGCCTGGGCTGCTGTTTCCAAAGTTATTAGGGGCTCATGGTTAACAGTTCATGCAATTTAGCCTTTGGGGAGACGCTGTTTGAAGCCTTTTTGACCTTTTGATTGACAGATGAATTTGTTTTAATGTCCTGAAAAACAATGTTTATTAATATTAGGAGTCTGTGAATTAGGGATAAAGACTACTGGTTTGTTCCACATTGAACCAATTCAGACAGGAGTTCAGTAGCCACCAGAACACTCACCTTGTCAGTGTGACTGTCTCTTTGCAGACAACTCATAGTAGGTTCTGTGTAGATGGGTCACTGCTGAGTGACTGAATGCTGTAGCTGAGGAGCCAGAGCTCCCAGGCAGGGCATTACCTGGAGAAGACCAGTAAGATATGTTGCTTAGTCAAAACCAGAAAGTCCTTTTCTATACTGTGACATGGATATAAAGGTCTCCTCTGCCTCCTCATGGGGGCATGGTTTCACTTACCCTTGTACCAAGCCTTATTGTAGAACAAGGGTCACTTCCTGATGGAGGATGGATCAGTTGGGATCAGGGTCATTGTGTGGTATAGAGTTTGTAGAGGACACAAAGATGGCAGGGAAGCCACAGGCTGAAGAAGGGTTCTTCTTTCTTTGGGAACATCCTGTCACCTGATGAGTTCTGCTGGTTGTTAAGATGGCACCATAAGCATTAAGACGGGATCAGGAACGACGAACTGATGAAAACAATGTGGAAATGGAGACTAACTGCGTGTATGACCCCACTCCGTCCTTCCCACCGCCCAAAGAACACAGTGGTACCTTATTCTACTGAAGAAACTGATCTTTAGGAAAACAGTATAGCTCAGGGAAATGCAGCCACCAGTTCATGTTCATCTATCTCCAGAACCTTTGCTATGGACTGCTGCTGTGGATTCTGAGAACCTCGCATGGGTTTCTAATGGATTGTAACATTTTCTGATAAAAGGCATATTCTGGACTGTTCTGCTATGTATGTGAACACGTCTATTAAACAAATGGGAGAATTTGAATATTTTCTCTGCAGAGAGCAGCAAAAGCATTGGATTAAGGGGGAGTCCCCTGAGAGCGTAGAGCAGAAATGTTTCCATGAAATGGCAAGAGCCAATGAGGACTGAGAATTAGGGTAGAGGACAGAATGCCTGCACAGTGGGTCCTATGCTTTTGGTCCCCCAGGGGAAGAAAAGATTATTTGACATTAATTCATCCATTCACTTGACTTCCCAAAAGTGAGGGGCTGGCACCCCAAATGTCAAGGTCCATGGTCCACCCTACATGTATGTGGGCTTGAATGATGATTGGCTTGGGCTATGAATAGGAATAGCCAGGAAAAGCATAACAGCTAATTTAGGAACAGATTATTTCATCAACTGATTTAAATCAGTAATATAAGACTATTTGAACTTCATAACAAACTGTAATTTCATATTCAAATGTTTAGAGCTCAACCCCGAGAACATCAGAGCCAGTTATATGACCTTTTGTGGCTTCCACGTAGTCTGTTATACCTTTAAAATTGGTATAAACCATCTGTTTTCCTGCACATTGATTTTCTAAATTAAATAACACATTTATTCCTTCCATTCTTAAAGTCACAGTGCCTTCCTAAGTACCCAGTCTTGTTTTAATTTTGAAGTAGCAGGAGCAATTTCTTTAGCTAGAATGTAAACAGCAATCAAAGTATTCAAGGTGACCTGGCTGCAATTAGGATTTAAACCGTGGTTTACCTTCTCAGTGGAAAGAAAAGAAAGCTAGAGAGTAGGTGGGCTCTTTCCCCAACGCTGGCTAAGAGCAAGTCTTACATCAGGCAGTGATGCTCAGGGAACAAGCAGAGGAAAAGCTGCAGGCTTCTGTGTCTGAATTGTAAAGGGGACCCTGCCTCTGGGAAGGATCAGTGCTGCCCATCAGTCTCTACCTTTATTTAGACAAAACACTTAAAAAAAAAAATGTGGCCTGAGATTCGTATTTGGTTGGCTTCTTGTTGATCTCGGTATTTACTTGGAGATCTGAAACCAAACAGACCCAAGTTGCATCCCAGCCCAGAGGGCTGGAATTTTCTTCCATTGGCTCGAAATCAGAATGAAGGCTGTTCTCTTAGTAGGGAAGACCAGAACGTTTACACCAAAAAGCCAGTACTAAAGGAGATTTTGGGAAGACTTTCAAACTCACAGAAAGTATAATGATAGCTGGCCTTCTCCACACGTCCATTAAAAACCCCAGAGGCTCAATTCAGAAAATGTCTCTATCACATTGGCCTGTAGGCAAGCCTGTGGGGGCATTTTTTTGATTAATAATTGATATTAGCGGGCCCAGACTACTAGGCAGTGCTACCCCTGGGCAGATGAGCCTGGGCTGAGTAAGAAAGCAGGCTGAGCAATCCAGTAAGCAGCATTCCTTTATGGCCTCTACAACCAGGTTCCTGCTTTGAGTTCCTTCTACAACTTCCTTTAGTGATGGGCCTATAAGCCAAATAACACCTGCCCCTACCCCCCAAAAAAATCCAGTGACAACTCTAAGGTAGGCAGTCTCATTTCCATTTAATAGTGAGGAAGTAGTTCAGAGAGTTTAACTAACTCTCCAAACTTATACAAGATTGGAATTGAGCATCCTGGCCAGAAGGAAACACTTGTGGAGGGTGTGGTGGAAATGAGAACAGGTAACTGATTTGCAGATAGTTTTGTTTGAGTCTTGGAATTGGCCCAGGCTGTTAAGCAACTCTCACAGCTAGAAAGGTCTTACATTTTGTCTTGATCTACAGGAAATACATAGAGAATCATACAAGGTCACACAGCTATTAAATAGCAAGACTTCACTGAAATAAGTATGTATTCCTAAGTTGACTCTTCCCAATACTGGGAGTCAGATCTCTGTGCAGAATTGGGACAGGTTAGTAATTTCTGGAACCTTTCAAAAAAAAAAAAAAAAACAGTTACTCTGTATCTATGTAAACCCCAGTTCAATCAATCATTGCCATGTGCCCTCACCTCATGAGTCCCCTCTCTAAGATTTTCAACTGACTATGTCCTTGAGTTCTACACACAGACTGTAACCTCTGTCAGCATCGGGGTCACAGTCATATTTCATAAGTGCACTCTAACTCCCCACCCCTTGGTGTGTCAACAATGAATAGTTACTGATTTCCCTGAATTGATGAAATTGATTGTTACTTTTTAAAAAGCCTTGTAAGCTGGCTCTGAGAATTAAAAATGACTTGTTTTATGGGGCTAGTAAGTACAGGATTCTATTAAGTCAGAATTTCTAAAAGGAAACATCAGAAACCCAAGAACTTCGAATTTCATAGGTCATGGTACTGTTGGGAAATCTGCTTGAGTCCCAGGTCACTTTCCTACCCACTGAAGTTTGAAAACCACAACTTAATATGTCTTAACAATCATATTCTATACAATCACAGCATACCTACTGATCTAGCTCTTGCTTAAGGTAAAGATGTCCACTGCAGAAGTATGCTTAAGAGTATTTACATGATGTTATTTCCCTTGCAGATTTCCTAGCATGATGCTGGAGCAGGAGGCTGGCAGCCTGCGGTTTTCAAGATGGCAGAGCTGGATGCTGACTTGGATCACATCATCCCATCTTCTGTCCTTCCCCCTTTCTGGGCTAAGTTAGTAGTAGGATTTGTTTCCCTCGTGTGTTTTGCCAGGAGCTATGATGGAGATTTTGTCTTTGATGACTCCGAAGCTATTGTTAACAATAAGGTTTGTGTCTTAATCCTCTAGGAAACTTAAGCATGCCAGTTTGCTTTTGTCTTAGTAATCATCCAAGTTGGTGTCAATTCTCTGTTAAAATTGGGTTGACTCTTGGTCTGGGTCTCACTTAAGCTATAGATTTCCCCCTAAATTTATTGCCTCCGATCTGCAGCACCTGCCTGTGCCCAGGAGACTCCATTCATACATGTATCAGAGGGGCCATTCTGCTAAGATTACAAGACCAGGGGTGTTGCAGAGCAAAGCAGATTGAGTACTTCAGGTTTTATGAAACTTTGCAGAACTGTGAGAGGAAAGGAAGAGACTCCTCAATTTGTTCTAGTGACGGATGGATCTAATCACCTGTTGAAAGGTGTGTGATCGATAGTGGGCAGCAGCTGGCTGTGACTCTCCTCCACTGTGTGAGGGCCGGGTGCTGGCAGCTGTTGGAAAAAAGCAGTGTGCTGCCCAGGGATCAGTGTTCCCACTCATTTCATGTTTGGAGACTCAAGTTTGCTGACCTTGCAAAATCCTGATCCATCTTGTTCACCAGTTACAGCTTTGTAAGGCTGGGAAAATAGTCGTCTTTTTATTGCAAAATGGGAAGGAAAAGATTCAAACGGGCCAAAAGACAATGAGCGTGAGAAACTTGGAGGCAGGCGAACCGGTGCTCCAAAGTGGCGTGAGGTAGAGACTTTGTGATAGTCTTACTCAGCACACAGCTTGTGTTGCTTACCCTTGGCCAGAACTTGAAGAAATGCACCTGCCTGTCTCTCTGGGGCATGTCATGGAAGGAGCTTTTGCAGCACAACTGTTGCATGCTGGTAAGAAATGAAGGCCATTAAGATAGCATCTGCCACCAAGCCTAATGACCTGAGTTCAATCCCCAGGACCCACATTGTGAAAGGAGAGAACAGAGTCCTGCAAGTTGTCCTCTAACCACACACACACACACACACACACACACACACACCATGGTATGTCTTTTTTCGTGTGTGTGTGTGTGTGTGTGTGTGTGTGTGTGTGTACAGACACAAGTTAACAAAGGCTATAAAATATATACATTTATATAAAGCATATATATGTATGTGTGTATGTGTGTGTGTATATATATACACATATTTTATATATATATATATATATTTTTTTTTTTTTAAATCATAGCTGTCACCAAATGAAGAAGAGGCCTTTTTACATAGAAAATATCGAAGAAGACACATGGCAAGACTGTATGTTAAGAAGTTGTAGAAAGCCATGATTGACTTGCAGGTGTTTTGTTTGTAGCATAATATTTTGTTTTGTTTTGTTTTGTTTTTTGTTTATTCGAGACAGGGTTTCTCTGTGTAGCTTTGCACCTTTCCTGGAACTCGCTTTGGAGACCAGGCTGGCCTCGAACTCACAGAGATCCGCCTGCCTCTGCCTCCCGAGTGCTGGGATTAAAGGCGTGCGCCACTACCGCCCGGCTGTAGCATAATATTTTAGGGGTTTTTTTTGGTTTTGTTTTTTCAGGGTCTCATTATATTGCTCTGGCTGGCCTGGAACTTGCTATGTAGGCCAGACTGGCTGCAAACTCAGAGAGCCACCTGCCTCTGCCTCCTGAGTGCTAGGGTTAAAGGTACACACCACCATGTCTGGGTCTGTCAATGTTCACTTTTAACTCACATTTTGTACTTGTAATTTCCCTCCCTTGAGTTCACCTGCCACCTGTGAAAGGTGACGCCTTAAAAGAAGTGAGTAGCTCTGAACAACTGTGCCACATCAAAGACTTGCTAGCCACAGAATAACAAGGATTCCAACAAGGATTCACCTTTTTAAGTTGTTATTTATTGTGGTGACTTTCTTCACTCCTCTACTTGGGTATGTGAAGGGTTAGTTCAGAACCTGTGTTGGAAAATTCCACTGAGCTGGGAAGGTGGAAACCTGGGCTCTGGTGTGTGGAGTGCTCTGATGATTACTGTAGTTCTTCCCTGTGTGAGGGGAAGTGGACAGGCGTCTTGTGCCTCTGCTCAGCGTGGTTTGAGCAGTATTTTCTGTAATGTCACCTCGTGCCCCTCGCATTAACTTGCCAGCCCCCCTAATCTCCTTCCCTGTGGAGTGCACACCTCCACTCCTGAAGCCATGTCTTCGTGATGTAAACAGGTGGTTGCTGGGGGAGGGGTGGATTCTGTTTGCTAGATGCTTCCTTGTGCTGAGTTGACATTTTTGCTCCTCAAGACGATCTCCGAAGCAGTGCTGTTAGAGGAATTTCAGATACAATCTAGTGTTCCCATAAATCATTAGGAAAGAAAATTGACCTTTCTCTCGCACACTCCGCTTCGTGTAGGCTGTGCCTAATTAAATATTTAGAGCTTCTTTGGTGTTCATTTCTGTTCGGAAGGAGGGTAAGACGCTGCTGTCACCCTCACAACTGAACAAGCACTTCTGTGGCAAACACAGGGACTTGGGCTCCCACTTCTGTCGCTGAGTTAGCAGATGGATCCTGTAATCTTTGCAAAACATCCAACTGGCTCATTGGATGGAGGATCTAAATTTTTAAGGCCACTTAAGCTGGTAGAAGTGAAAATCACAGTGAGAATCAAGTGATCGACTTTGCATCTGTTCCTCCTCTTGAAGCTTTTCCTTTGAGTCGGCAAGCACTTCATTCAGTAGCAAGTACTAAAGTCCATATTGTAACGTGGATATTTATTCTTTGAGGCCATCTGTCATTTAACCATCTCTTCTGTCTGGGAAAAATTATTTTAAAGTGTGTGTGTTGGGGGGGGGTGCCGCACACCACATGTATGCAGGTTCCTGAGGTGGCAGAAGAGGCCATTGAATCCCCTGGAGCTGGAGGTGCAGGTGGTTGTGAGCCTAAAGTGGATGCTGAGAACCAAACTCAGGTCCTCTGGGAGAGCAATATTCATTCTTAGCCACTTAGCCATTTCTTCTGAGTTTGAGCATCCTTCTGTGCTCAAAAGACCATTTCTTAGAAAGCTGGTAATGATGCAGTTTTTCCTACTAGGTACATATACCTGCTGGAGTTAAGGACTCATCATGTGAAGATATAGAGCATGAGTAAGAAGGAGTCGTGAACCACCCAACATGGGTGCTGTGGACTGAACTCAGGTCCTCTGAAAGAGCAGAACATGCTTTTAACTGCTGAGCCATCTCTCTAGCCCCCTCTTTTAATTTTTATAGCATTTAGTTTCATATTTTAAATGTAAGAAAAATGCATTTAGGCATGTTTGGTATACTATAAGGTTAAATTATCTTAGCAGAAAGATAGAGTTTTGTTTAATATTTGTAGCAGGAATCTTAAAAGTTCTTATTAATGAAATCAAACCTGGTGCTAGTTGTTGGAGTGAATGCTGGAAGATCAGAGAAGCAGAACAAGCCACAGCTACCTCACCTTGCCAGTTCCTCAGCTGATCCTGTTTCCTCAGACTGGAGGCCTCTGAGTCCTCATCCAGAATGGGTCTCAGCTGAACTGTAGCTCAAAAGCCTAAAATTTTAACCAGCCAAATGCCAAAAGCTTCTAGTTTCTGGTCCTCACACCTTATATATCTTTCTGCTTTCTGCCATTACTCCCTGGGATTAAAGGCTCACTTCTTGGGATTAAAGGTGTGATGAGTCACCATGCTTGGCTGTATCCTTGAACACATGGATTTCTGCCTCTGGAATGCTAGGATTAAAGGCGTGTGCTACCACTGCCTAACCTCTATGTTTAATATTGTGGCTGTTTTGTCTCTGACCCCAGATAAGTTTATTAGGGTGCACAATATTTTGGGGAACACAATACCATCACAAATATTTAGTAATTTTATATTTTAAAATTGTATGGAAGGTTTTTTCCCCTGGTTTCACAATCTGCTTAACTCATGACCAAAAGTGGAAATTTTAAGAATTGTATTTGCTCATACTTGTTTAAACTGGATGTTTTTCTAATACTTCACCTTATTTCATTGGCTGCGAAAGGATAATAGTGACCTTATGTGGCTGAGTGGTCTGTTCTGTCAGCATGGTTTAAAAACCTTCTCTGTACTTCAGCCCAGGCCTTGTGGAGCTCCAGTCTAGTGACAGAGTAACTAGAGTAACTCGTAGCTAGTGTGCCAGGTGCTATGGGGACAGATATGAGATGCCCTGGAATCTACAGAAATGGCTTGAGATCTACTTGGGATGTCAGAGGGCTGAAGATGACTGCCTAGGGCAGACTCACCTGTGCAAAGCCTCTGGGGAGGGAAGTCATGGAGTCAGACAGATGGGTGCGGAGGCCATGCTGTGGCAGCTGTAAGAGGACATCAGCTTTGACCCAGGAAGGTAAGAAGCTATTAAAAGGATTGTAATTAGCTAGATAATGTGCATTTAGAAGTACTATGTGTAGAAAATATGAAGATAAGGTGGCCCTTTGAAGAAGCTTGCCCATATCCTGGAGAAGAGATGATGGGGGGACTGGGCCTAGGGCTAGTAGGAAGGACCAAGTGAGCAGAATTGATAGCTTGGGGGAGTTTTCAAGGCTTTGGTGCAAGACTAGAGGAGGCTCATGACTCCTTGTCCAGAATGTCCCATTGTGTTCTTGCAGGACCTCCAATCAGACACACCCCTGGGGGACCTGTGGCATCATGACTTCTGGGGCAGTAGACTGAGCAGCAATACCAGCCACAAGTCCTACCGGCCACTTACTGTCCTGACTTTCAGGTAAGGTGTAACAGTGGGAACAGAAGCATCATTTGAGGTTTCTACGTGACATTGTATGTGTGTATGTGGGCGGGGGAGGCGTGGTCCAGTCATTAGTTCTTAGGTGGAGTACATATGTATTATAAGGTGTTTGTGCTTATTTCAGGTCTTAGGAGGTATGCCACAGGGACGATGTGCCTGAGGAACACATATCAGCTGCACAAACTAAAACTGGAATTATGCAGAGATTAGCCTGGCCTCTGTGCAAGGATGATGCTCAGACCAGCAAAGCATCTGTCTCTCTGGTTCTCAGAGAGCTTACCCTTTACCGTTTGGTTACCAAAGCACCAGGGGAACAATGGATATGTATCAAAGCAACACAGGCATCCAATAAAATTGTGGTTTGTTTTTTTTTTCATGACAAAATGAAGCTCTGAATCGTCCTACCATTACCAACTCAATATGTAAAGTGAAAATGAAGTTTAAAGATGACTTCTGGTCCCTGTTAACCAGTTACTAGTCACATGACAGTTCTTATATCTGATCCTGGGATGCATTTAAATTCTTGTATATAGATCTTGCAGAGAAACATTTAAAAACAGTTAGAACCACCAGCAATTGAGAAGTAGTCAAAAGAAAGACTCCCACTAGCAGTAGGAAGATATCCTGTGGAAGAAGGCTGGGGATACACATTGTTAAAGCACTTTTTTGCGCAGATGTGTAGGTTATGTGGCTAGCTTAAATCTAGGCGCCTGTGGGGTAGCCTGGAGGGATTTGTGGTTTATCTTGTCCTTGGAAAATAGTCTCTTGGGGAAACTTAAAAAAATAAAAATAAAAAGGTCTAGCTTTCCTTTTGATTTTCCTTTCCCTGTGTTTTCAGTGCCTTCCCCTGTGACATGGCCATTTCTCCTACTCTCCTCTATGGCTAATTGTGTTCACAGTTTCTTCAGGCTTCTTAGCTGGACAGGGTTATTACCTTGGTGCTGTTTTCATGAAGGAGGCACTACGCTCTTTCAACAGCTGCCATTCTGTTGTGTGTGCTTCTGCATCCACTGTGAACAACCAACGTTTGTTGCAGGATCAACTACTATCTGTCAGGAGGCTTCTACCCCGTGGGTTTCCATGTGGTCAACATCCTCCTGCATGGTGGCATCTCCATCCTCATGCTAGACGTCTTCTCGGTACTGTTCGGTGGCCTACAGTACACCAGTAAAGGCCGGAGGGTACACCTTGCCCCCAGAGCGTCCTTGCTGGCGACACTGCTATTTGCTGTCCATCCTGTGCACACTGAGTGTGTAAGTATCACCCACGTGTGACAGTCTGCATGTGTATAAGAAGTAAGACATCTGTGTGCTGTCTGGTTTTCTGAAATGGGCTCTGCATGTGTTCCTCTTGGTTACAGAGTACACATCATACTGTCTTCAGGAAATGCTTTCCTGTGAGATGTTTGAAACAGTGAGTTCTAGGTCAGAGACATCTCTTTATGGACAAGTAACAGCTACCATACTGAGAGACTTTCTCCTCAGAGTGCCGTGATCTTGGGTGGCACTGTCTTTAGCCTGTGTGATAACATAAACTTCAAGGGCATGAGTGATGATGTTGCCTGACTTTGCAGCCTGAAGGCCAGCAGTTAAGAACCCTTCCTCAGTGCAGAGACTGGGTGGGGCAGTTTTCATTTATTTTATTTATTTTTGAAGGTTGATAGGGTGTAGATGTAACCCACCTTCTTATTAAATAAGAAACACAGAACCAATACAAAGAAGAAAGCCAAGAGGTCAGAGCTAAGAGCTAAAACCTTACCCTTCCTCCTGCGGTGGTCCTACCTCTCCGAACCAGAGCTACCCCTGTGTTAAAGTCTTTATATAGAGTTCCTGTCCTGCCTTCTCATTGGTTGTAAACCCAACCACATGACGGCCTCCTCACGGCCTGTCTGTATAGGCCTCCAGGTTTTCCATGATTGGTATTGAGATTAAAGGCATGTGTATCCAATACTGGCTGTATCCCTGAACACACAGAGACTTACCTAGCTCTGCCTACCAAGTATTGGGATTACAAGCATACGCCACCACTGCCCTGCTTTCCTATGGCTTGCTAATAGCTCTGACCCCCAGGCAACTTTATTTATTAACATACAAATAACATTTTAATACAAATAAAATATCACCATAGATAGGGTCTTACTATGTAGGCTTTGGCTGGCTTGGAACTCCCTAGGTACACCCTACTGGACTCTAAATCACAGAGATCCACCTGCTTCTGCCTCCAGTGCTGGGATTAAAAGTATGCATTAGCATGCCTGGCCTGGGACAGTTTTTCTGTGGTAGCTAGATGTATGATTTACAAAATAACTTTCTTAATATAATCGGCATAAAAGCACTATAACATCAGATGATCTGGTACAACTTTACAGGTAGTAAGTATCCCAAGAGGCTAAGAAAGTGAGTGTAGGGTATACAGAAATTCTGAGGTTCCCGTACTGGCACAGAGGAACTGCTCTTGAAGTCTCTCTGCCTTCCTCCTCCTCCTCCCTCCCTGGGTATCTTCCCCTTGGCCAGGTGATGAACAGCAGTGACAGGAGCCTAGCCTGCTACCCTGTAGCCTTGTCTCTGTGCCTAGGACATGAAGAGTACACTTTAGACATAGACTGCTGAGATTTAACTGGACATGTTTGAGGTTGCCAGCAAACCCCCTCATGCACACCTGAGCACTTGGAAGATGTAAAGTGGCATGTTGCTGAAGTGAGATTGGATGTAGTCATTCTGGTAGAATGCTACATATGCTGTTTGTCTCATAGTGGACTTTAACTTCTAACAGACATTAAAATGCCTACATTTAACTGATTATTCTGTTGAGGGTCTTAAAGTCAGTTCTAAAATGTTAAGCAGAATTCTTGTTTTTGGCATCTGATTTCTCATAATGTCTGTTTCTTTGGTTTTGAGATTACCATGGAATTTTTATTGTGGTCTTCTGTATCTTTTGTGAAAGACTATGGCCGATGCTGCAGGAGTCCACTTTAAACCTCTATCTCTTATCTGTGCACAACCATGACCAAGTCAGAATTGGCTGCAGCGTCACTGCATCTCAGATGCCGTGTATGCATCTGACACAGGCTTTATGGAAAAACCCTGATTGTGTATTTGCTTCTTGTATAATTGGACATAATCATAAAACCAAAATAAAATTGAGTAATTAACCAAAGGTTTTCCAAAATTCTGATTTTTAAGTATTGAAAAATTGATTTATGAAAAGTTTCAAGGCCTGGGTATGCTTACACATGTTTGTGCATACACAAGACACACACACACACACACACTTTGTAGATAAATGCAGTTATTTGCTATTCTTAAAAGGCCATATTTCATATCTTTGGAAGGAATTGGGGGGAGTGGAGAGGAAGCTCAGCTAGAGAAGTACTGTGCTTGCTGTGCAGTGTGGGAACCCGAGTTTGATCTCCAGCACCCACATAGAATTCCTGGCGTAGGGGTGTGCGTCTGTAGTCCCAGGAAACTGCTCTTGAAGTCTCTCTACCTCCTCCTCCTCCTCCTTACGTGCAGGGTGGGGGAGGGGGGGGAAGGTTGATTGATTTTGATTTATATCATCTGAGTAACAAATCGATTTGGTTGTAATGATATGGGGAAGGAGAAAGAGATTGTACTTAGGACCAGCCAGCCTAGCCTCTTTATCTAGTTATGGGGCCATGAGAGACCCTGTCTCAACCAAGGTGACCCGCCACTGGGGAGTGATACCCAAGGTTGACATCTGGCTTCTACATGCACAACCAAACGTGCATGAGCACATGTGTACACACACAGGTGCAGGAGTGCGCACGCATACACACACACACACAGGTGCAGGAGCACGCATGCATATACGCACACACACACATACACACACACACAGGTGCAGGAGCATGCATGCATATACACACACATACACACACACACAGGTGCAGGAGTGCGCACACGTACACACACACACAGGTGCGTGAGCACGCATGCATACACACACACAGGTGCATGAGCACGCATGCATATACACACATGTACACACACACACACACACACACACACACACACACACACACACACATACAGGTGGTAGCTACCTGTGGGGAGAAAGGAATATTTGAAAATTCTCTTCATCTCTCAGCCAATCCATGACAGCCATTTAAACTTGAATTTTGGAAAATAAGGGATAATTAAAAATTAGCATTCACAGACAGATACTTTGCATGTTTACCTTTCATTATTTTGACACATTATCCAATTTCCTCTTATCAGCTTTTCCCTGTTATCTCCCACTCTACATTTTTTTTTATGCCCGCTTTAAAACATGTGCAAAGAGCAAGACACCTGGAGCTTATCTTCAGGTGGCAGAGGAATGCCTCACAGGTGTCCTACCAGGATGGGAGAGACAGCTGGGTCTCTGCTGTGATGTGGCTATGACAGTCCCACCCTGTGTGGCTCCCTGTGGCAGGAGGACAGGGCAGATTGGAGTAAATGTGTGTCTGTATCTGTGTGTTAGGAGGATAGAGTAGCAGCAGGAGCCCTACCAGGTTTTAATGACATGCTTGTCTTTGTAATTAATAGGAAACCCCCCCCCCCCGCAGTGTTAATACTGAAGATATTTTTGCCCACTGCAAATAAACACTCCTGTTTTCTCTTTTATGTTATTGTTGGGGTTTTTGTTGTTGTTGTTTGGAGGCAGGGTGTCCCGTAGCCAGTGCTGGGATTGTAGAGGTGTTCCACCATAACCAACTTAGCACCTGACATTCAAGCCGTCCAGTGCTTCTGACCTCTGACCAAAGATGGCCCCAGGCAAAGTGGGATGAAGTGATCACCCTTCAGCCCGATCCCCATCATGCTCTGATTGGTAGGGAGATCATTACAACCAAATTGATTTGTTCCTCAGATGATATAAATCAAAATCAATCAACACCCCCCCTCCCCCCAGGTAAGCCATCCCAAATCATTGTGGATTGTTAGTAGGCACATGAGGCCTCTGGCAGGGTGCTGGTTCCCTGTGAGGGAGGAGAAGCATGAGCAGATACTGCTTAGGCCCTGATCTGGTTTTGGCTTACCCATCAGGATGAGATATCCGCAAGGACTCCTTGAGGACATGAGTACCACTGTGCTCAAAGCATGGCTAAAGGACAAGTGCCTGGCTTCTGGTGCCAGGGAAACTCAGGCCTCTTCAGGGCTTCTCCCATCCACTGCTGAGCCAGATGTTTTACCAGGGAGGGAACAAGATGCGGTCTTTCCATCCCAGGCTGGTCTCAAATTCTCTAGTAGCTATTTAGATGAGGCTGGCTTTGAACTCTTGTCCTCCTGCCTCCGCCTTTCAAGTGCTGGGATTGTAGGCACGAACCATCATACCCAGATTTGAACACTAAAACAAAAGGGATTAGTAGGGGTACGCTTGCCCACCTCCTTCCCATCCCCCGAATTCTTAATCCTTGTCCCTAGTAAGGAAACTCAGATGCCATCTGTTGGAGGGAGGATGTGGTGTTTTCCAGAAAACCTTGACAGAAGTGTTGAGGTAATCTGAAAGAAAAATACAACTGCTGGAGAGAAGTTTGCCTGAAAATACATATTTTGCAAATATCAAAAAAAAAGAGAGAGAAAAAGAGAGAGGGGGATGAAGGGAGGGAGGGAGAAAGAGAAAGGAACGGAAGGAAGGAAGGAAGAAGAGAATGCAAGCCTTGTCTTCCTTATGTCCAGTCTCCAATGGTTAGATAGACCTGCTCTTGGATAGCCTTTGAGATTCTATTCTGTGAGCTCTCTCTAATTACTCTTGACAAATGTTATTGAAGTGCTAAATGCTTCTTTAAAACACTTGCCATAGGTTTATTTTTCATTTGTTTTTATGTCAGGCAGTATAATCTTCATCACTTAAAGAATTGAGATTGTCTTTAATAGTTTTCCAAAATAGGGGTAGAGAGACAGCTCAGCTGTTAAACACTGAGCTCCCAACCAGAAGGACAGTAGTTTACCAAAAGAAAAGCTTTGCTTTAGAAAATGAGTTCACTTGTTTAAAGTTCATTTCCTGGCAGTTCTGTGCCTGCACCTTACCCACCCTGATAGAAGGGGCTTCAACAGCCTGGTCCTTTTGGCTTCATCCTTGGCTCTTGTCCGAACTGTTCCTTCCCCTTCAGCCCTTCCAAGAAGTCCTGGTGCTCTTTCCCTGCCTCTTCGTAGCTTGCTGGTCTGCATTGGCTTTGGTTGCTTCTATTCTAAGAGGGTTTGGGGTTCACTCTGTCCAAAGCCACAGCTCTAAAAAGCTCCTCTCCTTATCCCAGCGGGAGGCCCATAAAGCCTGGATGCTCTGATCACTTCCTTTCTTGCCACTGGGCCTCAGAAGCAGGTGCCCCACCCCCAAGGTGTCCTTGGTCCTTTTCCTGCCTGTCACTTTGTCCTATTTCTAGAAGCACTCTGGGATTCATGAAGGGACCTAACAGGGAGCCACACTTACCATGTGCCAGGCTTTGTCTGTAGCTGCATCTCTCATTACTCAGCGTGCCCTTGATTGACTGAACTTACCTCTGAGTGTCCATAACTCACCCTCCAGTGATCCACCATGTTCTCTCCAGGTTCATGAAGCTTGTTTTGCCCCTTGCTTCCTGTCCTGGTTGATACCATTTTCGTGAAAAGTCCCTGACAATTTCGGAAGGAAGGGTGGACTGCGGCTCATCCTGGTAGGGAAGGCGTGGCAGCACAGCATGAGCTAGCTGGGCATATCCAATCCGGAAGCAGAGAGAAGTGAATGATAGTGCTTAGCTCACTTCCTCCTCTTTATTAATGAAAGACCCTGGAATGGTGCTGCCCACATTAGAGGGAGTTTGCCTCAGTTAAGAAGACTGTCTCCTGGCCGACTTTAGATCCTGTCAAGTTGCCAGGACTAACCATCACACTTGCCTCTCTAGGTTTCCTCTCACACATGCTCTTGCTAGGATGGCTTCATCAACCCATTCTGTCCTCTGATCTCTGCATGACCCCATGGATTTCCCAGTGCACCTGTAATGGGGGATTACAACTACAGGAGACAGTACACTTCAGCCTTTCATGTGTAAAAGGAAAACTTAAAGCATTCTTGTTCAGCTGCTGACCATACACACCCTTATGAAACATATGTATGTGTACTAATTTCCACAGGCATGGAATTTTATCTGTCCTTTGAGGAGCGATTAATCTGCCATCCTTTAAAGTGATTTGATATATGTGACATTTGGGTGCCAGTTAGTAAAGGACACCCCACAAACTAGAGCAGTACTCATGAGCAGAATTCTGTGTTTTTCCTTACATTTGGAAAACAATTATTGGGGTAATCAGCCTGGAAGAAATGAACACAAACTTTATACAGCTTCTTTGTCACTAGGGGAAAGACGGATAAAAAAGGTAGAGTTGTCAGTGTTGGGAATGAGGAGAGAGAAAGGATGGGAACTGTGATCTGTTTTACCTCATTGATCACTTCAGAAGCATCTTCACCTCACAGGTTATCCCTCTAAACCAGTTTGAGTCAGGGAAGAGATGGCAGAGGCAGCTCAGAGGCATTAACCTATCTTTTCCTGCCTAAACTTTTAACATAGTTTCTACTTTTATATCTTTTGTGTGTCCAATCAGATTTAAATTTTTATTAATTTATTATTATTATTATTACTATTATTATTATTTGTGTGTGTGCACATACATGCATGCTTGATGTATGTGCATGCCTTGTGATGGGGGGTTAGGACATGCATGCCATGATCCATATGCTTGCTAGAGGACTCCCTGAAGTTTGTTCTCCCCCTTTTTATGGGTTCTGAGGATTGAACTCAGGTCCTCCAGGCTTGGGCAGCAAGCACCTTTAGCCACTGTTCCATCTTACTGGTCCCAGGACTTATTTTTTTTAGTACTGTGCACTATGAGCTGGTAACACTTTCAATTGAAAATCTCCCGTGGGACATGAGAAACCTGGGTCACAGGTGTTCTTGGGTGTAGTGTGTTAAATAACATTGCTTTGCTAGACATGTGCTGTGCCCAGAACAGTCTGTTCAAACAGCCCGGGTTCTCTTAAAGCAATGAAGTGAAGTCCTGGACCAGTGAGGGTGAAGAGAACGAACCAGCTGTAAGATAACACCGTCGGGTTTGAACATGAACTGCCAACATGATGTCATAGGGGTGGGTCTAGTGAGTTGCTTGCTTTGTGTCTAAGGAACATTTTGTATATCCAAAATTTAGGAATGCTTAAATGTTTTTTATGTAAATCTTTCTCCCCCTTCTTTTAAGGTCGCTGGTGTTGTTGGCCGTGCAGACCTCCTGTGTGCCCTGTTCTTTTTGTTATCTTTCCTTGGCTACTGTCAAGCATTTAAAGAAGGTAAGCATTTGCCTTCATTTGCCTCCTTCTTCATATCTCTGTCCTTTGGAACAGTGTTTTAACAGACAGTGGATTAGTCTGTTCATGTAAGGTTATTGTTTGAGGCGCAGTAGGTCAAAGGGTTAGACTCTTCACACACGTGTTTATTTCACTACCCTTTTCACAATGCAGTATTCTAAGTCAGTGATGGAGAGTCCCCACACCAGTGTCCTGGTGAGCAGCGAAGCTGAGCAGAACTACGGAAGCACTTGTGTTAGCGAGGGGGCTGTTTTATTTCCAGCAAAATTACACAGTTGCACACTAGCTTGGGACTCTGTAGACATCGTATGTGTTTATGGCCATGCTGTCCCATCATAATTTCCAGGGGTGAATTGAAACAGCCTGTGAGAGTCTTCGCTCCATTGTCCCAACCCCCTTCCTGGCCTGTAGGCTGAACCTGAGCTCTGGTTATGTCTCTCGTTCCCTCAGACATGCAGCTCCATTTCGACATGAGAGGGGACTCTGCCCCGTGCCGATGATGTCTCCTGTGGGTAGGCGTGACCATACCCCACACCCTTGTGTCATTTTTTAAAAATCATGTCCAGACAAAGAAACACTGCATATCAGTTGATACCTAGGAGGAGTCTGGGGACAGGTGAATGGAATAGCTTCAAGTGTAGAGAAAGCAAGGAGCCACTCCTCTTCCCGAGACCAAAGGTGAACACGGCAGAAAGGCACACCTCCATCAGTTCCTTGGGCAGGGTCTTGCCACTCGTGGCCTCTCCTGATGATCTGGGGAAGTTGTACCTGCCACAGTCTCACAGCACAGCTGTAGAGGTGGCGGCACCAGTCAGGTTTTCCGTAAGATTATGAATCAGGAATCAGGAGTCTCCCCTCTCATGGACATGGTTATTACAGCTAATGTCACTTCATGTTCTAACATTGGCAGTTCAGTCGGAATCTGCAGGAACATAGGAGCTTCTCAGCTTCAGACTTTTTCTCCAAGAAAATTAAAACTTCAGACTTGTAGGGGTTTTTTTTTTCAGAAATGTCTCTTTAAGTCATAATTTATTAACCTTAACATAGCCTTATTAAAACAACTACTTGCAATTAAGAATAGATTTGAGTCATCAGAAGTGCTTTTTGAAGAAAGTATTTATATTAAATATTAAATATCAATAGATTTAACATGTAGAATGCATCATATAAAACCTCCCACTGCTTTTAAAGATTGCTCTTGCAAAGTCATAAGGAAAATCACAACACTAAAAAGTCCTTCTAATGAGTGAACTGATTAATTTGTTAGGATTTTGAATGGAGTGTTCTTTCAGATAGTGAAAAAAAAAAAAAAAACTAAAGCTACTTTGTATTCCCTTCCTGGATTCTTTATTCTTCTGTGTTCCAATTCATGAATTTGTGCATTAATATTTATATTGTATATGTATATCTGTTTTCAAGTTCCTTTATAATCATAAAATTGTTTCTAAGGACCATCCATACAAAAAGTAATTGGTTTATGAAGCCTTTGGGACTGAGAGTTTAGCTTGGTAGTGGATCATTTTCCTGGCATAGAGAGGCCCCAGGTTCTACTCCTAGTGCTGTAAAGACAAAATGAATACACATGGAGTCTTTGGAACCCGATGGTGAGGGTGAAGGTACTTCAGTGTGTGATAGTTTTCCAGTTTATTCATACTTTGATTCCTGGGAAGTCAGTGAAAAACTGTTAGCCATATACTTTTCTTTTTTGGTCCAGTGACACTATTTTATCATTTATACTGCATTTACTTTAGCATGAAAAAGAGATGATTAGGCCTTAAGTTCGTAAATATCTCCAGTAAAGTTAACTTGGACATGTTTCCTGTCTGTAGCTCAGTGGCAGTGGTGGCATGGGCTCATGTGGAATACGTGAGAAGACAACACAGTGGATGTGGGAGCCTTCACAGAAGCCCTCTGTCTACCTCTTGTCTGTAGTCACCTCATCTCCCTGGAATTCTGGTTACTGATTAACTTGAACTCATTTTAAGACGGGAAAGAGTAGATCAAATGGAGCCCGCAGAGTTGTTCCACTTGGTCTCTGACACTTTGTGGTTGCGTCTTTGGGAAGTACGAAGCTGTGGTAGTTGGTAGTTTCAGTCCTTAGTGCCTTGATCCTGGAAGTTACTCTCAGCCTTGGATCTCTGTATCCTTTCTGCCCCCTAACTGTTCACTTGCCCTGGCATGCTTGAGTTGGAGATACCTTAGTTACTGCAGAGTTTAAAGTGGGTGGTTGAAATCGCCATCTCTAGAGTCTTCATCATTGTGAATTAATTTCACTGCTGTTTGTCAGTGCTCCTGGTTTTTCTGTCTGCGGAAAGATGGAATTCTGCCTTGCATTTCTATGGCATGTCCAGAGGTTCCAAGTCATCTGAGGGGGTCTTACATACACTGATTAGTTTCCTGGCAGGGAAGCCCTTCTCTCTCTTGAGCAGGGTCATAGGCCTGACCCCCACTGTAGTTACCTAAGGACTTTGTGTCCTGATGGGCAGCCTGCCTTGCTTCTCCGGACCAGGGCATAAACCAGCCACCCGTCCCCAATCACCTCCCATCCTGTCCCCTGTGCACCACCAAGTGTTCCCTTGTCTCTTGACAGAGGTGCCATGTCTCCAAGAACTTTTCTATATTTGTGGTTTTCTTGACTTTTCCAAACATGTCAAGAGTAGAATGTTCTGTAGGAGTAAGTACTGGCTCCTTGGAAACACCCTTAAGCACCATGTTGATGTTCAGCTTAGCATATATATTACCTAAGACTTATCTCTTTTTTTTGGGGGGGGGGGTTGAGACAGGGTTTCTCTGTGTAGCTTTGGTGTCTGTCCCGGATCTCACTCTGTAGACCAGGCTGGCCTCGAACTCACAAAGATCCGCCTGCCTCTGCCTCCCGAGTGCTGGGATTAAAGGCGTGCACCACCACTACCCGGCTGCATGCAAGGTCCATAAACCTTCACAGAGGAAGAACAGAAAGTTCCCTCTGCATGAAAGATGTTAGTGAAACGTGCTTGTGGTCTCTGATACTGTTCAAAAGTACCACAGGGACTCGTCAATTCATCCCCTCACCAATCAGTCACATTTTAAAAGCATTTCTTGTGCTGGCCCTGTGTCTAGTGCTGGGATTACAAACCTAAAAAGACAAAGTCCACGCAGCCCCAGGGGGGTTACAGTCCCACGTGTATTATATGTGTGTCTGTTAGGGAATAGTATCTTAGGGTGTGTTACTGTTGCTTGTGTTGCATTTGTTTAACTCTGAAGCTGTTACTGTGTCTGTGTAAAACACCTAATGGTCTAATAAAGAACTGGCCCATACCAAGGCAGGAGAAAGGATAGGCAGGGCTGGCAGGCAGAGAGTATATATAGAAGCAGGAAACTGGAGTGAGATCTAGAGCCAGAGAAGGAGGAGGACCCGGGGGCAGCCACCCAGCCACACAGCAAGCCACGGAATAAGAGTAAGGTTTACAGAAGTAAGAGGACAGAAAAAGCCCAGAGGCAAAAGGTAGATGGGATAGTTTAAGTTAAGGAAAGCTGGCTAGAAACTAAGACAAGCAAAGGCCAGGTGTTTGTAACTAATAATAAGCCTCCGTGAGTGAATTTATTTGGGAGCTGGTTGGAGGGCCCCCCAAAAGACCAAAATCCCCTAACAACATATATGTGTATACATACACATCATATTTAAGTATGTAAAAATACTTTTTTTCAAATGTTCAGCATCACACCTAGGGATTTACATGTGCCAGTCAAATGTTCTACCACTGATTTACATCTCTAGGCCCAGTCCAAGATGTTCTGATTAAAATACAGCTTACATTATTTAGAATGCCCAAGGAGCTGAGTGATCCACTTCTCCACTCTTCCTCCTGAACTGGTCCTTCCTTTCCCTACCTCTCTGCATGTGCTCAAGAAAAGATACCTTTTCGTGGCATTTTCAGAATAGATGGGGGTGGCCTTTGCACCACTAATACCTTTGACACCCTGTCGGGTTTCCATCAGTCCAGCAGAACACAGCTTTTCATATTAAGAGGCATTTGAGTGTCTGTGTTTCCATGTGTCTTAAATCATCAGTTTTCTTTTCCCTAGCTTGTCAATTCAGATGAACGTAGGCCAGGCAGTCCTCATGGCTTCACGCCATAGCATAATGTTTTGCCTGTGTTTGTGAGTACAGCAGAGAATCAAAACTCTTTTGTAGTAGGAGTGCAGTTTTTACTGGAATGAAAATAATCATGCTGTTTAATGTGGAGGCTTAATGTTTAAAGCAACCAGCTCAAAGACCTGGTCTTTGTGCTTCGAGAATTTGAATATATAAAGTCAATAAAAAGGAGGTCCGGTTTTAGTTACATGTAAATTTGATATTTGAGAGAGGTTTTTACATGGGAACTGAGTTAATACTGTTTTATAAGGGAACAGAAATTAAGTGCTCTGAATTGACTTAACCTGTTAGAGGGCTCTCTGAGAGGCTATATAGCTCCTTTTTGGTAACCTCATTAGCTTTCTTTATAGGCACAGTCTGTATGATTATAAAGTCTAAACAATCTTTAGGCCCGAGTTTATTAGAGGCAACTCTGCTAAGCTCTGATGCCCTGGCATTTTCAGAGAATGGAGGGAAATCTGCTCACTGTCGTTTCCAGGGCTCTGCCTGGTTTTCTTTTTCTTTTCTTTTCTTTCTTGTGCTGTCATCGTATAAGCTCTTTTGGAACAGAATCTTTTTTTAAAATGAAAATGTCCTTATAAAGGCATCAGACATTTACTTAAAAAAAAATCATTAAATCAGATGAATTGAAGGTACATGGAATTTTTTTTTTAATGCCCAAACTAAAAATGTGCTATTCTCATGAGGTGTTTTGTCAATACCAAAAGCTCCTTCAAAGCCCGCTATTTCAGGCTGGAGACAGGTAAACCCTGTACAGTAAGCTTGCTAGAATGTGGAAACCAATCCCATTCTTCGACAGTTGCCTTAAACTAGGACTGGGAGTCTCCCTCGCACTGGGAGGAGGGAT